ACAGATTACACATTAAATATTATAAGGCAGCAGAATAAGTTCTCAAATTACTATTAGTAGACTATGAATGACGAGTCTTTCTGCACAGTATTATTACAGATGGGTTGAACATCACTGTACTGTAGGTCAGTGTTTCTCAACCACGTTCATGTTGGACAAGCAGCACATTTTCCATGTCTCCTTAACCAAACACACCTGATTCAGATCACCAGCTCATTAGCAGACACTGAAAGACCTGTAACTGGTGTGCCAGACAAATTAGACCTCCGAAACACGCAGTGCTGGTGGGCCTCCGGGAACATGGTTGAGAAACACTGCTATAGGGATCGCAAAGAGAAAATGAACTGGAGTAGCTAAACTGTGAGCTTTGGCACAGATATGCTTTTGACACTAATGTCATGTTAAAATACCAAGCATCTTGTTTTGCTTTTTTGTTAGGAACAAAATGCAAGTGCTATTATTCTTCAGGAGAAAATATTTTAGTTTGGCTGGAGTAAAGAAGTCTATTAAATCTATCATAATCAATATTATAATTTGAATAAATCAAATTGGCCGTAGTGTGTGTGTGTGTTTGTGTGTGTGTGTGTGTGTGTGTGTGTGTATGGGTGTTTCCCAGTACTGGGTTGCAGCTGGAATGGCATCCGCCGTGTAAAACATATGCCGGAATAGTTGGCGGTTCATTCCGCTGTGGCGATAAATGTACAGGGGGCTAATAATTCAGGAGGGCTAATAATTCAGGGGGGCTATTAATTCAGGTGGGCTAATAATTCAGGAGGGGCTAATAATTCAGGAGGGGCTAATAATTTAGGAGGGCTAATAATTCAGGGGGGCTAATAATTCAGGAGGGCTAATAATTCAGGTGGGCTATTAATTCAGGGGGACTAATAATTCAGGGGGGCTATTAATTCAAGGGGGACTAATAATTCAGGAGGGCTAATAATTCAGGTGGGCTATTAATTCAGGGGGGCTAATAATTCAGGAGGGGCTAATAATTCAGGAGGGCTAATGATTCAGGAGGGCTAATAATTCAGGGGGGCTAATAATTCAGGAGAGCTAATAATTCAGGGGGGCTAATAATTCAGGGGGGCTAATAATTCAGGAGGGCTAACAATTCAGGAGAGCTAATAATTCAGGAGGGCTAATAATTCAGGAGGGGCTAATAATTCAGGGGGGCTAATAATTCAGGAGGGCTAATAATTCAGGTGGGCTATTAATTCAGGGGGACTAATAACTCAGGTGGGCTATTAATTCAGGAGGGCTAATAATTCAGGTGGGCTATTAATTCAGGGGGACTAATAATTCAGGGGGGCTATTAATTCAGGGGGACTAATAATTCAGGAGGGCTAATAATTCAGGAGGGGCTAATAATTCAGGGGGGTTAATAATTCAGGAGGGGCTAATAATTCAGGGGGGTTAATAATTCAGGAGGGTTAATAATTCAGGAGGGCTATTAATTCAGGTGGGCTATTAATTCAGGGGGGCTAATAATTCAGGAGGGCTAATAATTCAGGGGGGTTAATAATTCAGGAGGGGCTAATAATTCAGGGGGGTTAATAATTCAGGAGGGTTAATAATTCAGGAGGGCTATTAATTCAGGTGGGCTATTAATTCAGGGGGGCTAATAATTCAGGAGGGCTAATAATTCAGGAGGGGCTAATAATTCAGGGGGGTTAATAATTCAGGAGGGCTAATAATTCAGGTGGGCTAATAATTCAGGGGGACTAATAATTCAGGGGGGCTATTAATTCAAGGGGGACTAATAATTCAGGAGGGCTAATAATTCAGGAGGGCTATTAATTCAGGTGGGCTATTAATTCAGGGGGGCTAATAATTCAGGAGGGCTAATAATTCAGGAGGGGCTAATAATTCAGGAGGGCTAATAATTCAGGTGGGCTGTTAATTCAGGGGGACTAATAATTCAGGGGGGCTAATAATTCAGGAGAGCTAATAATTCAGGGGGGCTAATAATTCAGGAGGGCTAATAATTCAGGTGGGCTATTAATTCAGGGGGGCTAATAATTCAGGAGGGCTAATAATTCAGGAGGGGCTAATAATTCAGGAGGGCTAATGATTCAGGAGGGCTAATAATTCAGGAGGGCTATTAATTCAGGGGGGCTAATAATTCAGGAGGGCTAATAATTCAGGAGGGCTATTAATTCAGGGGGGCTAATAATTCAGGAGGGCTATTAATTCAGGTGGGCTATTAATTCAGGGGGGCTAATAATTCAGGAGGGCTAATAATTCAGGAGGGGCTAATAATTCAGGGGGGCTAATAATTCAGGAGGGCTAATAATTCAGGTGGGCTATTAATTCAGGGGGACTAATAATTCAGGAGGGCTATTAATTCAAGGGGGACTAATAATTCAGGAGGGCTAATAATTCAGGAGGGCTATTAATTCAGGTGGGCTATTAATTCAGGGGGGCTAATAATTCAGGAGGGCTAATAATTCAGGAGGGGCTAATAATTCAGGAGGGCTAATGATTCAGGAGGGCTAATAATTCAGGGGGGCTATTAATTCAGGTGGGCTATTAATTCAGGGGGACTAATAATTCAGGTGGGCTATTAATTCAGGGGGGCTAATAATTCAGGAGGGCTAATAATTCAGGAGGGGCTAATAATTCAGGGGGGCTAATAATTCAGGAGGGCTATTAATTCAGGGGGGCTAATAATTCAGGAGGGCTATTAATTCAGGTGGGCTATTAATTCAGGGGGGCTAATAATTCAGGAGGGCTAATAATTCAGGAGGGGCTAATAATTCAGGGGGGCTAATAATTCAGGAGGGCTAATAATTCAGGAGGGCTAATAATTCAGGAGGGCTAATAATTCAGGGGGGCTAATAATTCAGGAGGGCTAATAATTCAGGAGGGCTAATTCAGGGGGACTAATAATTCAGGAGGGCTATTAATTCAGGAGGGCTAATAATTCAGGAGGGCTAAAATTCAGGAGGGCTAATAATTCAGGGGGGGTAATAATTCAGGAGGGCTTATAATTCAGGAGGGCTAATTCAGGGGGACTAATAATTCAGGAGGGCTATTAATTCAGGGGGGCTAATAATTCAGGAGGGCTAATAATTCAGGAGGGCTAAAATTCAGGAGGGCTAATAATTCAGGGGGGGTAATAATTCAGGAGGGCTTATAATTCAGGAGGGCTAATTCAGGGGGACTAATAATTCAGGAGGGCTATTAATTCAGGGGGGCTAATAATTCAGGAGGGCTAATAATTCAGGAGGGGCTAATAATTCAGGAGGGCTAATAATTCAGGAGGGCTAATAATTCAGGGGGGCTAATAATTCAGGGGGGCTTTTAATTCAGGTGGGCTGTTAATTCAGGAGGGCTAATAATTCAGGGGGGCTAATAATTCTGGAGAGCTAATAATTCAGGAGGGCTAATAATTCAGGAGGGCTATTAATTCAGGGGGAATAATAATTCAGGTGGGCTATTAATTCAGGGGGACTAATAATTCAGGAGGGCTATTAATTCAGGTGGGCTATTAATTCAGGGGGGCTAATAATTCAGGAGGGCTAATAATTCAGGGGGGCTAATAATTCAGGAGGGCTAATGATTCAGGGGGACTAATAATTCAGGTGGGCTATTAATTCAGGAGGGCTAATAATTCAGGTGGGCTATTAATTCAGGGGGACTAATGATTCAGGGGGGCTATTAATTCAGGGGGACTAATAATTCAGGTGGGCTATTAATTCAGGGGGACTAATAATTCAGGGGGGCTATTAATTCAGGTGGGCTTTTAATTCAGGGGGACTAATAATTCAGGAGGGCTAATAATTCAGGAGGGCTAATAATTCAGGTGGGCTATTAATTCAGGGGGACTAATAATTCAGGGGGGCTATTAATTCAGGTGGGCTTTTAATTCAGGGGGACTAATAATTCAGGAGGGCTAATAATTCAGGAGGGCTAATAATTCAGGTGGGCTATTAATTCAGGTGGGCTATTAATTCAGGGGGACTAATAATTCAGGTGGGCTATTAATTCAGGGGGACTAATAATTCAGGGGGGCTATTAATTCAGGGGGACTAATAATTCAGGTGGGCTATTAATTCAGGGGGACTAATAATTCAGGGGGGCTAATAATTCAGGAGGGCTAATAATTCAGGTGGGCTATTAATTCAGGGGGACTAATAATTCAGGAGGGCTATTAATTCAGGTGGGCTATTAATTCAGGGGGACTAATAGTTCAGGTGGGCTAATAATTCAGGGGGGCTAATAATTCAGGTGGGCTAATAATTCAGGAGGGGCTAATAATTCAGGGGGGCTAATAATTCAGGAGGGCTAATAATTCAGGAGGGGCTAATAATTCAGGGGGGCTAATAATTCAGGAGGGCTAATAATTCAGGAGGGCTAATAATTCAGGTGGGCTAATAATTCAGGAGGGCTAATAATTCAGGAGGGGCTAATAATTCAGGGGGGCTAATAATTCAGGAGGGCTAATAATTCAGGAGGGCTAATAATTCAGGGGGGCTAATAATTCAGGGGGGCTAATAATTCAGGAGGGCTAATAATTCAGGGGGGCTAATAATTCAGGGGGGCTAATAATTCAGGAGGGCTAATAATTCAGGTGGGCTATTAATTCAGGGGGGCTAATAATTCAGGGGGGCTAATAATTCAGGGGGGCTAATAATTCAGGGGGGGCTAATAATTCAGGGGGGGCTAATAATTCAGGGGGCTAATAATTCAGGGGGGCTAATTATTAAGACTTCAGCTGTATTTATTGTTTATTGATTTGAATGGAAGCTTCCCAAACTGCAATTGCAGCCCAGAATATAAAGCACAGTATTTAAGTGTGTGGAAAAAGGTGGATAAATCCTTTCAGGCCATTAAATGAACCCCACTGTGAATGAATGGGAGTTTGGTTTATTTTTTCCGGGTGTCTTCTCATGATCTACCTGTCTGTCTCTTTCTCTTCCTGCTTTGTTTTATTTTGGTTTCTGTCCTGCGTTTTCTGATGTCGTGGTGTGCCGATTGCTCCTCATTCCTGGGCGAAGGCTCCAGGAGGCGTCAGAAGGGTTCAGACTACGCCTCCACCTCGGAGGACGAGTACGAGTCGAACCAAAGCACTCCTAAACACAAACGCTCCCATCATTCAGGAGCGCAGCAGAGCCAGCCGGCAGGTCCGGTGAGAGCCATGCCCAGATCCAGAGACTCTGAGGGGGAAGGACAGGAGAGCGACGCCTTCCAGAACTGGACGTCTCACAGTGCCGAGATCGCCAGGTGAGGATTGTTAAAAACACAGAGGGAATAAAGTCATTAGGTGCGTCCCAAATTGCCTACGTATGCAGTATTCTATGCCATTTTGTAGTATGAATAGTGCAAGTAGTGCGTTCACACTCAAATATTCTCTTTATTAAACAGAATAATGCACTTTAAATACCTGGATGATGCATTTATTTAATCATTAAAAAAACTGTGTAATGATGGACACTTTATACACACACAATGGCAGCAGCTTTGCTCACGTAGCTGAAGGGGTGGGGCTATCGATGAAGGGGCGGTGCTAATGATTAAGGGGCGGAGCTGTTGGTCACTGACATTGGATTACTTTATTTATTGTGGATGGTGAAGCAAAGTTCTCGGACGAGAGTGATCATGCGGCCTCCTAATGGGGAATGCGATTATACTCATGGCAGATATTATTTGGAAGTTTGGTAAACTGTCCGCTTATTAAAATACCATTAGTGTTCCATTTGCGACGACACTACGTTCATATATATGAATATAGACATACGCTGTTGAGTGTGTAAGTAAATACATTGTGCATAGCGTGCCATTTGAGACATGGTGATAGATTTTATGTGAGTAATAATTGACAACATGCTGTTAAATTATTCGAAAATAATGCAAAGGGATCTCAGGTATGCATTCTTTTTTTAATCTTTCTAAGGACTGTGATTTTTCCACTGCTCCTACGGTTTTTACAGCTAAATCCACTGTTCAGATGTTGTGTTTGAGACTTTATTAGTCAGGTGTTTGTCCTCAAACTGCTCCTGTGTGTAGCGCTATCTCCTTTAAAGCCTTCTGTTGCATGTTGATGTGATTTTTGACTATTTTAGCTGTGAAATCTCTGAAGAATATAAAAAAAAATAAATAAAGCAATTATTCAGTGAGTGCGGTTGATACTGTTAACAAGGTTAATGCACCAAATCTAACTACCGCAGTGCACACTTCACTACTGATGTTAAAATATTGCACTAAATTTTTTTTTCATGCATGCTTTTCTCCAGATTGAGTCAGGATCTCGCTAAAGATTTGGCTATTTTGGCCCAAGAGATTCATGATGTCGCAGGAGACACTGAGACTCAGAGCGGATCACAAGAGCAGACGGAGCCCGCCATATCCACACAAGAGGAGGTGCTGCAAAACTGCCTTTATTTCATTACTAATGCAGATAAAAATGTTTTTGTCTTGTTTCTTGGCCAAATATCTAGAAATTCTTAAATTAAGAAGCCTTTTTTTTTACAAGCAAATTATAGTGTCTTGTTTTCAGAAATAATGCATCAAAATGAAGTGAGTTTTTCCTTAAAACAAGCAAATGATCTGACAATGGGGAAGTAAAATGAGCCTGTTTTTGCGTTGAAACAAGATTTTATTGTACACAAAAAAAATTAAATAATAATATGATTTAAAATCGTTGTTTTCTATGTGAATAAATAGTAAATTGTAACATTTCTATGATGTAAAGCTGTCATATAATTATAATATGTATAATAAAGATCATATTAAATAGTGTTTTGTTTTTTAAATAAATAATAATTTTATACAATAAATGCAAAAATAAATGTAAAGATTAGAAAAATTTCTGACTATAATCTGTTAAAAACAATTGTGTTGCTGCATATTTTTGTGGAAATCATTTTCAAAAACTGATCCATAGTTCAAAAGAGCAGGATTCATAAAAAAAGAAACCTGAAGTTATTTGTAATAAAGTAACTTCTTTCGCTCCAGCCAAACAAAAAGAAATAAAAGTTTCTCCAGAGGAAAAGTATACACTCACTGGCCACTTTATTAGGTACACCTGTCCAACTGCTTGTTAACGCTTGATTTCTAATCAGCCAATCACATGGCAGCAACTCAATGCATTTACGCATGTAGACATGGTCAAGACGATCTGCTGCAGTTCAAAGCGAGCATCAGAATGGGGAAGAAAGAGGATTTAAGAGCCTTTGAACGTGGCATGGTTGTTGCTGCCAGATGGGCTGCTCTGAGTATTTCAGAAACTGCTGATCTACTGGGATTTTCACGCACAACCATCTCTAGGGTTTACAGAGAATGGTCTGAAAAAGCGGAGATATCCAGTGAGCGGCAGTTCTGTGGGCGCAAACGCCTTGTTGATGCCAGAGGTCAGAGGAGAATGGCCAGACTGGTTCCAGCTGATAGAAAGGCAACAGTAACTCAAATAAGCACTCGATACAACCGAGCTCTGCAGAAGAGCATCTCTGAACACACAACACGTCCAACCTTGAGGCTGATGGGCTACAGCAGTATCTTCTGATGGCTACTTCCAGCAGGATAATGCACCATGTCATAAAGCTCAATCATCTCTGGTTTCTCGAACATGACAATGAGTTTACTGTACTCAAATGGCCTCCACAGTCACCAGACATCAATCCTATAGAGCAGCTTTGGGATGTGGTGGAACGGGAGATCGGCATCAAGGATGTGCAGCTGACAAGTCTGCAGCAACTGCGTGATGCTATCATGTCAATATGGAGCAAAATCTCTGAGGAATATTTCCAGTAGCTTGTTGAATCTCTGCCATGAAGAATTAAGGCAGTTCTGAAGGCGAAAGGGGTCCAACCCGGTACTAGTAAGGTGTACCTAATAAAGTGGCCAGTGAGTGTAATATAACATCTCTTGGGGAAATATTTGGAAAAAAAAAAAAATAATTTTTAAATGATCAGAAGGAGGAATAATTCTGTCTTCAACTGTATGAAGGCATTTTATAGTTGTCCACATTCAGCTTTACTCAGTTGTGTTTCTGCGCTCTTTCAGTTGCGGCATCAGATTCCTGAATCCAGTCTGAAAGTGCAGAAAGAGTCTCCTGGAGCAGTCGAAGAGTCTGAACACACCGCTGAAGATGAGAATCAAGCCAATAGGAGACAAGACGAGGTAAAAACAAAACAAGAATAGTGTATCTTCAAAAATAAGCTCAAATAGAGATTAAGACTTTATTTTTTTATTGTTTAATCGTGCTTCTCCAATGTTTGCAAACTTACGATTAGCCTATTGGATGTTTCATGCAGCGCTTTAAGAAAAGTATTAATGCACTGTATTGTTGTTTTTAAAGCTGTGTGTTGTTTCTTCAGGCTGCTGTGAACAGTGTGCTCCTCAATCCTGTGTCTCAGCTTTCACTCGCCATCAGGGAAAACACCGAACAGCTCACACACAAAATCAAGTCAGATTCTGCTTTTTATTTCTCCCTTTCTTCTTCTTCTGCTGCTGCTGCTTTCTTTTTGATATAAGAATAAAACACTGAAATTAAAAGACAATCAAAAACTATAACACAATTAAACACAATGCATGTAAGAACTATATTTATAGACATTTTTAAAGAAAGATTTTTTCTTTATAAATATATTTCTTGCGTGCATTTTACGGTTGTATTATAGTTTTTGTTTTTAACAAAGACAAATCAGTATTAAAATATTAGCCTTAAGGTCCCAACTGGATAATCCTCATTTCTGTTGTGTTTTGCGTTCTGTAATGTTATATACTCTCATGATTAAGATGTATTGTGCTGGTTTCATGTTAACATGTTGTGGCTTTTAATCTTCAGGGTTTTGTTTCATAATCGGAGAGATGTTTTGGGTGAAATCGAGGCAAAGATCAGTGCAGAGGATGATTCTCTATCTATGAAAACCTCAAACAAGGTCAACACATCTCTTTTTTTTTAATAATTCAATATCATTATATTGTTTAAAATATATTTTATCATTTTAAACTGAATGCACATAATGCCCATACCAGTGTCATTTATATAATTGAGGTATTAAACGTTTTAGCAACATTTTTTATTTAAATAAATAAGTAATTATTTTAGTATTCAGTATTTAAGTATAACAATATATAATAGTATTAATGAACAGAATTAAGAACACATTTTTACATTGTTTTTAATATTTTACTTATTGAAATATCAATTTTTCTTACATGCAGAATTTAATTGTTTTACAGATTTCCTTCATGAGGTTGCTTTGAGAAACACTAAAATATAGAATATAAAGTCAAATATAAAATAACGTTAAAAGTTGCATAATTAATTGTAATTTCTATTTTACTTTTGTACCTACATCGAAATTGTGCAACAAGAAGACCCTCAAAATAAAGTTTTGGCTCGTTTTTAATGTTTAGTCATTTTAAATGCATTTAATAGTTTTTATTTTTTAGTTAAACTAAATTTAAATTAATATTTATTTATGATTTTTGTCCTGTAGGAAGTGGCGTCGATCCTGAAAGAGCTGAGGAGAGTCCAGAAGCAGCTGGAAGGTCAGTCGACGCTTAATTTAACACTAAAATACTGAGTTTGCCGATCCTGAAGGAAAACATAAACAGGGGGCTAATAATTCTGACTTCAACTGTGTGTGTATATAAATATATATATATATTAGTGGTGGGCCGTTATCTGCGTTAACGCAAGACTCTTATCGTGCGATTAAAAAAAATTGCTGTTAATCAATTCTCAAAGTTGGGTTGGGAGCTGGGTCTATTCCACGCAAGCTATGATGACTTTCACCTTGATATTTTAGAGCAGATGTATTCCTGACCGGTGAGCCGTCTGACAAAACAGTGCCCTTCTGAATCAAATCAGCAGATGCCTGACTTAACTGCAGTTCGGCAGTTTCACTTTAACTCATGAACATTTCATTCATGCCCCCGTGACAAACTATTAGACGCAAATAAGGAGTGAGGACTGCTGAGAGTGTTGTGGAATTTATTAACGCACGCCAAATAGAAAGAAAAAAAACGCGTTTCTCTGTGTGTTTGTGTACATGTGTGCGGTCCTTTACTGAGAACTGCGTGTGGGTTTTGTCAGAAAATATGGCGAAATCTCCTACATTGAATTAAATTATACGAGGCTTTGAGCGTCACCATATGAAGTCTGAGGCAACCCATTGAAAGCAATGGAATTTCTTTTGTGTCTGTATAGTGGCGCCAATGGGCACCTTTGACGTCCTCATACTGACGCGCAAGGTGCTGAACCATGCTTCAGATTTTGATGCCTTCGAGATGAGATTGGTTTTGTGACATACTCCACGTCTCCATTTCTGTTTAGTTCAGTTCTGACTTTAGTCGGATTGAGGTGATCAGAAATCCATCGCTGTTTGGAGCTTCATAATTCATGCTTAACTGAAAAAAACAGTTAGTAAACACGAGTACATCTTATTGAACATCATTTATTTTCATCATCAATTATCAGAGTAGAACAGTTTCTCAAGCAGTTTGTGATGCATTTCGGAAACAGGAGATGAGCCCCTGGATTAATGCGCCACCTGGCTTGAGAAACCCGTTCTCAAAGTTCTCAATCTTCCCGTTCTCATTCTCCGGCAGAATTCAAATGAGCCATTTTAATTTAGATTATTTCCGAGATTAATCTAAAACAATTAATCTATGCCCACCTATATATATATATATATATATATATATATATATATATATATATATATATATATATATATATATATATATATATTTGTTTTTTTTATTCTATTATAACAATTTTTACATTTATTCTTTGCCCAAGTGATGGGATATCATTGATTTTAGTTTGTCATTTTAATTGTTAATAAATTTAAGTAGTTTAAAAAATAAATTCCTTTTTATTTTAGTATTCATATATATTTAATATTATTAGCCCCTTTAGGAAATTATTTTGATTAGTTTGATTTTCTACAGAGCAAACTTCTGTTGTCTAGTTACTTGCCTAATTAACCCAATTGTGTTTCCTTTTTAACTCTTTAAAAGTAAATAAATAAATTAAATAGGAACTGTGTTTAATAACTCCAAATTCAATAACCCCAATAGCCCTAATTTTCATTTAACATTAACAATAATTACATTAAGAAATGTAAAGAAAAGAAAAGGTTTGCCTAGTTTTTATCTTCCAGCACTTTTTATTCAGTTTAATTCCAGTTTATTTGTATGTGTGGAAATAGAGAATAAAGATAATAATTAGCGTAGCTGCTGTTTATAATGTATTTAAATAAGAAATGTTAAATATCAATGCGAGAGTGAAGTGTTCTAAATGAAAATAGTTGAATAAGCAAACATAGAAACACATATATAAAGCATAGAAGTATATGCCTGGTGCATTAAGACAGGAGGAGTGTGTCCTACAGGTGGTTGTCAAGCCAGCTCACCTGCGTGGAGGACACTCATGCGTCATATTGTTACATGATGCGTTGTGTGTATGCTTTACTAAACAGATCGGTCTTTAATCTAGTGTTGAACTGAGAGAGTGTGTCTAAGTCTCAACATTATCAGGAAGGCTATTCCAGAGATTTGGAGCCATAAATGAGAAGTCTCGACCTCCTTTAGTGGACTTTGCTATTCTAGGTACTACCAGAAGCCCTGAGTTTTGAGAGTGGGTTGATTTGTCTCACAGTCAGTCAGTGTTTGCTGCTGCAGTTTCCTCAGTGTTTTCTTTGCGTGTGTTTTCAGTGATCAACAGCATCATGGATCCGCAGGGGAACCCGGAGCTGATGCGGACGTTCTCCTCATCTGCAGCTGCAGCGCGTGGATCCAGATCTGCTCTGCGGGACAACAGATCTGCAGGAGGAGGAGCAGGAGCAACACCCAGAGCCAGACGCATGTTCAGGAGCACAGACAGAGACGGCTCGATGGTATAAGGAGAAGAGCCAAAACACACGAACATACACACTGATTCAGATTCTCACACACACTGATTCAGATTTACACACACTGATTCAGATTCACACACATATACACTGATTCAGATTCTCACACACAATGATTCAGATTTACACACACTGATTCAGATTCTCACACACACTGATTCAGATTTACACACACTGATTCAGATTCTCACACACACTGATTCAGATTCACACACATATCGACTGATTCAGATTCACACACACAATACACACTGATTCAGATTCACACACACAATACACTGATTCAGATTCACACACACTGAATCAGATTCACACACACATACACACTGAATCAGATTCACACACACATACACACTGAATCAGATTCACACACACACACTTATTCAGATTCACACACACAATACACACTGATTCAGATTCACACACACTGAATCAGATTCACACACACACATACACACTGATTCAGATTCACACACACACCGATTTAGATTCATACACACATACACACTGATTCAGATTCACACACACTGATTCAGATTCACACACACTGATTCAGATTCACACACACAATACACACTGATTCAGATTCATACACACTGATTTAGATCCACACACACTGATTCAGATTCATACACATACACACTGATTCAGATTCACACACACACCGATTCAGATTCATACACACATACACACTGATTCAGATTCACACACACTGATTCAGATTCACACACACTGATTTAGATCCACACACACTGATTCAGATTTACACACACTAACATATTGAGATTCTCACACACATTGATTTAGATTCACACACACACATACACTGATTCACATTCACACACACTGATTCATATTCACACACACACATACACACTGATTCAGATTCACACACACACATACACACTGATTCAGATTCACACACACACACACACACACACACACACACACTGATTCAGATTCTAACACACTGATTTAGATTCACACACACACACACACACATACATGATTCATATTTACACACACATACACACTGATTCAGATTCACACACACACACATTCAGATTTACACACACTGATTTAGATTCACACACACACACATACACACTGATTCATATTTACACACACATACACACTGATTCAGATTCACACACACACACACATACGATGATTCAGATTCACACACACACATACACACTGATTCAGATTCACACACACACACACACACACACACATACACTGATTCAGATTCACACACACACACATACACACTGATTCAGATTCACACACACACACATACACTGATTCAGATTCGCACACACACGCAGACAGGATCTGTAGATGCTTGATGTTTGCACATGTCTATTCCTCCTCCAGCCAGTCTGAATGGGCTGCAGTTCAGAACTCTGCATTGAGTGTATCACTGTACAGACACTGTGGAGGATCCTCTCTATAGTTTGTGGGATTATGAATATATGAGCTCTGTTAATGAAATACATGATTATTTAAATCGCATTTGTCTCTGTTGGACAGGGGATTATTTCTATGATTATTAAAGATTTAAATTAATGCTTCTGTGTGTGTGTGTGTGTGTGTGTGTGTGTGTGTGTGTGCGTGCGTGCGTGCGTGCGTGCGTGCGTGCGTGCGTCTTCATTTATTTTATTGAAGTGCTGTGAAAGGAAAGTGCACAGGTCACTTGTGGATCTTTACACTGCAGTTTATTGTTTAGCATCATGTCCTAAATACAAATATATACATGTACTCAATATAAATGTGCTTTTCTACAGCACAAGTGTCTAAATATTCTCATAATATCATAATATCTCATAAAACATTTATAATATCATGTTTATTAATCAAGATTATACATTCATTCCTTTGGCTTAGTCCAGGGACGTTCAGACTCGGTCCTGGAGGGCTGGTGTCCTGCAAAGTTTAGTTCCAACCTCAATCAGACACACCTGGGCTAGCTAATCAAGCTCTTACTAGGCTTTCTAGAAACATCCTTGTAGGTGTGTTGAAGCAAGTTGAAGCTAAAATCTGCAGGACAGCAGCCCACCAGGATCGAGTTTGGACACCCCTGGATTAGTCCTGTTTAATCATCAGGGGTTGCCACAGCGGAATGATCCGCCAACTATTCCAGCATATGTTTTACACAGCGGATACCCTTCCAGTTGCAACTTAACTCCGGGAAACACCCATACACACTTGTTCACACACACACACTCAGACACTAAGGCTAGTTTAGTTCGTCAGTTCCCCCATTGCGCATGTGTTTGGACTGTGGGAGAAACCATAGCAAACCCATGCCAACATGGGGAGAACATGCAAACTCCACACAGAAAAGACAACTGACCCAGCAAGGACTCGAACAAGTTAGCTTTTTGCTGTGAGGCCACAGTGCTGACCACTGAGCCACAACAATTATGACATTGTTTATTTCTATTCTTTATTAATAAAGTCATCTGGAATGGCAAAGAAAGCGTTCCTGCAGGACTCCCAGAGTTCATCAACATTCTTTGTGTTCATCTTCAACGCCTCCTCCTCCATCTTACCCAGACATGCTCAATAATGTTTATGTCTGGTGACTGGGCTGGCCAATCCTGGAGACCTCCTTTGCTTTCAGGAGCTTTGATGTGGAGGCTGAAGTATGAGGAGCGCTATCCTGCTGGAGAATTGTCCCTCTGCTGTGGTTTGTAATGTAATGGGCAGCACAAATGTCTTGATACCTCAGGCTGTTGATGTTGATCATCCACTCTGCAGATCTCACACGCCCCTATACTGAATGAACCCCAAACCATGATTTCTCCTTCACCAAACTTGACTGATATATGTGAGAATCTTGGCTCCATGCTGGTTCCAGTAGGTCTTCTGCAGTATTGGTGATGATTGATGCAGATCAACAGATGATTCAGCAGAGGAATCCACCTTCTGACACTTTTACACATCATCAACTAGAAGTCAAGTTATTATCTGCTGCTCTTACATCTGGGATCCAGGACAAGACTTTTGTCAGGCAGTGTTTATGTAACTGAACTGTCCCTTTAAATCAGTTTGTTCCTCCTGGTAAATGTAATCTGGTAATGATTATAGTTGAGTTTCTGCAGAAATGAAAGTGAAACTCAGAGCAGTCGGGACTTTTATCAGACTCTCCTTGATGCTCATCAGTGTTCATATGATTTCTGTCTGGACAAACATCACTCACTGAAGCAGGTATACTATATTTTATTATATTAAAACATCTGACAGCTGAGATGTATATTATTAATGTTTGATAATTATGTGTACCGTATGATTAACTTGCATTTAGCCATGCATGCTTTTTTATTTATTTATTTCATAACTGGTTATTGCTTTATATTTATATATACATACAGTTAAAGTCAGAAATATTACCCCCCCCTGTTTATTTTCCTCCAATTTCTACGGAGAGCAGATTTTTTTCAACACATTTCTAATCATAATAGTTTTAATAACTCATCTCTAATAACTGATTTATTTTATCTTTGCCATGATGACAGTAAATAATATTAGACTAGATATTCTTCAAGACACTTCTATACAGCTTAAAGTGACATTTAAAGGCTTAATTAGGTTAATTAGGGTAACTAGGCAGGTTAGGGTAATTAGGCAAGTTATTGTATAATGATGGTTTGTTCTGTAGACTATCAGAAAACAAATATAGCTTAAAGGGGCTGATAATATTAACCTTAAAATGATTGTTAAAAAATATAAAACTGCTTTTATTCTAGCCAAAATAAAAACAAATCAGACTTTCTCCAGAAGAAAAAATATTATCAGACATACTGTGAAAACTTCCTTGCTCTGTTAAACATCATTTGGGAAATATTTAGAAAGGAAAAACAATTCAAAGGAGGGCAAATAATTCTGACTTCAACTGTATATACTGTATATATATATATATATATGTATGTATGTATGTATATATATGTATATATGTGTGTGTGTATGTATATGTGTGTATATATATATATATATATATATATATATATATATATATATATATATATATACACACAAATATATAAATGACAGTTTTTCCACATTTAGTGTATTACACGCTGCTTATTTGTAAAATATTTATAAATTGCATTTTGAATGCGTGTTTGTGTGTGTGTTTTAGTAGTATGTACTACAACGTTTTTTAAGTGTTATTAAATACTAGTGTATTAGTTTCTGTAATGTTTTTAATTTTAGTTTTAATTTAATTTCTGTTTAATATTTTGCATTAACTTTAGTAAAAGTGTTTTACTGTTCATGAGTTTAGAATTGTAATTCACTTTATTTTAGTTAATGTTTATTATATGTAACAAAGTGTATATGAAGAGTTCAGATGCAAAAACCTCTAAGTGCCATCTGAAATTTGCTTCTAACATCAGCATTTTTCTCATTTTCTTGATTCGGTAATTTCACTTTTCTGGTAAAGAATAGGTTATTTTCATCGCTTTTAACATGAAATAACTGAACATAGCCATAAGAGGCTGAGAAAAATGCTTATTGTAGAAGAAAATTCAAGATGACACTTAGAGCTTCTGAACTCTTCATATATCACACTCAGCTTCATAAAATCCAAGGCTGTCATGAACTGTTAATCAAACTGTAAACTCGCTTTTTGCTTCCTTTTTTAAAAATAAATAACTTGCACATTTATAAAACTGTTAACTGTGTCGAATGTAAAGATGTCAGTGTTGTGAATGAATGTGTTTTCAGTCTAGTGGTTAATTTGTTTTGCTTTAGTGAAATACAGCACAGATTACAGTATTATTAATAGTAAACATTTTGAAAATATTTTGTGCATTTGACTGTGTTATTAACTCTGTTTGTTTCCCAGAAAGCTCGTTCGTGACGCTGACAGGAATTATATTTAGATGTGTGCCTGAGATTAAAAGCACCATTTAAACAAGAAATAGAAATGAAAGAGGAACGAGGAACTGCTGAGGGTATTTGAGAGAATTTCCCTTTGTGTTTCCAACGAGACGGCATTCAACACCTGCAGCAGCATGTCTGAGTAAGTGCTCTTCACCACAGCTTCAGTACAGTGCTGTCAAATGATTGATCACACGTTTATAAAATAGATTACTGTGTATTGTGTAATAATATGAGCTAATTTATCCATAATGAGCCGTTTTTTCATATTTTGTGGTTCATGTTTGTATTCTTCCATGTTTATTTCTGCTTCTGAGTTGCTTTATTGGAGCTTGATCTTTCCTCCAACAACTTTTAACCTTGAAGATATGAGAAACGTGACTCTTATGATCATGGGGAACAGTCTGCGGTGCTATATTGTCTGGGTTAATGTTACACCAGTGGTTCTCAAAGTCTCTTGGTGATATCCAAAAATCTCATATATTTTATTAAACTATTAGGATGATCATATTTTATCAATGATTATATTTAATTTGCGACCCCTGGGGTTATTATGCTAGATTAACATCACAGTAATAGCGTTAGTCGCTGCAGAGTGATTTTGCGGTATAACATTATGCACTCGCATACACACTGAGGAGGGCATTGTGCCGAAACGTTTGTGTCTTTAAATCACCTGAAGAAAGTAAAAAGAAAAACATTACGAAGCAATTACTTGATGAGTGCGAATCATTAGCTTTTTGAATAAAAGCATCGACAAGACTGACGCACTAAAGAAGTTTCTTTAAAAGCCGCGAGCGCGCAGGGCAAACTTCAGCAACTCTGCTCACATACATTCAAAAATAAGGCCACGACTGAACAAGGAGGACGAACTCCAAGTGATCTCGAAAATTGAAACAAGAATAGTTTTGTGCTATAAACATTGTGTTCACCATTCCCATTAAGTGAGATTAATATTAAATTAATAACGATTATAATAAAGATATGATTGTAAGGCTGTTGCACTTTTTTTTGTGTTGACAATATGCCTATGGGTGACGCAGTGGCGCAGTAGGTAGCGCTGTCACCTCAAAGCAAGAAGGTCGCTGGTTTGAGCCTCGGCTGGGTCAGTTGACATTTCTGTGTGGAGTTTGCATGTTCTCCCTGCCTTCGCGTGGGTTTCCTCCGGGTTCTCCAGTTTCCCCCACAGTCCAAACACATGCGGTACAGGTGAATTGGGTAGGCTAAATTCTCCGTAGTGTATGAGTGTGTGAATGAGAGTGTGTGGATGTTTCCCAGAGATGGGTTGCAGCTGGAAGGACATCCGCTGTGTAAAAACGTGCTGGATAAGTTGGCGGTTCATTCCACTGTGGTGGATTAATAAAGGAACTAAGCCGAAAAGAAAATGCATGAATGAATGTGCTTATGTTTATGTAAGTGTGTGTGTGTGTGTGTGTGTGTGCACCATTGTGTGCAATATTTGTATGCTTATAACCCTCTCTGTGCATAGTGTGGGTCGCGAGTCACTGGAGTTGTTATTTTAAGGGTTGCGGGTTGAAAAGTTTGAGTACCCCTGTATTACACTACAGTATCTTTTCTGTTATTTTACACACTTATTTCTCAAGATATTATTATTTCTTATACATTATATTATTATTTCAAATACTAGAATGTCACTAAAAGTCACTTTGTTAAGCTGTAGAGTCGAATCTTCAACATTAAAAGTCAATCAACATCCCATAATGTGATTCACAACCACAAATAAATGGAAAACACACAAAACACAGAAACCGTTCATCAGCAGATGTTTTACAGCGTACATTTTTTGTATATGTAAATGTATGCATGGTTATATTGTATAAAATATGTTTATATGCATATAAATATGTATATATAATACAAATTAATTTATTATATATCTATAAATACACGCGTGCATGCATATATTTGAGAAAATGTTTATTCATGTTTAGATATTTAATGCATATGATACAAATTCTATATGAAATAATAAAATAAATAAAATATATCTATATTACAAAATAGTTTTGTTTCCATCACATATACATAATAAATATACACAGTACACACACATAAATTCTCAAAACAATCTTTTATGTTGGAAAAAATTTATCTTTGCCCAGCACTTTTTGTATTTTGCACAGTATGTGTGTATATACAGTGTATAAGCAGTACACGTGTGTGCATGTGTGTGTGTGTGTATGTATGTATATATATATATATATATATATAAAGCAGGGTGGGCCATTTATATGGATACACCTTAATAAAATGGGAATGGTTGGTGATATTAACGTCCTGTTTGTGGCTCATTATATGTGAGGGGGGCTTGTAAATAACTCATGAATGAATAAAGTTACGTTAAAACCAAGCACACCATTGTTATTCTTGTGAAACTTGTGAATGAGCACTGTGCTGCGTCCGACAGATTGCACTATCATGTTTTTCTCTTCTTCTACTTTCTTTATATCACATTTTACCTGTTTTTATGTTTTGTTTTGTTTTTATGCATTTTTATTATTTGTTTTTATTTTTATTTTACTTGTTTCTTTTATTCTTCTTTATGTAAAGCACTTTGAATTGCCACTGTGTATGAAATGTGCTATATAAATAAACTTGCCTTGCCTTGCCTTGAAACTCCCAATAGGTTTATTAAGGTGTATCCATATAAATGGCCCACCCTATATATATATACACACACACACAGTTGAAGTCAGAATTATTAGCCCCCCTTTGAGTTATTTTTTCTATGTCAAATATTTCCCAAATGATGTTGATGATGAACAGATTCAGGAGTTTTTCACAGTATGTCTGATAATATGTTTTCTTCTGGAGAAAGTCCTATTTGTTTTATTTCAGCTAGAATAAAACCAGTTTTTAATTTTTGTAAACTATTTTAAGGTTAATATTATTAGCCCATTTAAGCAATATTTGTTTTCGATAGTCTACAGAACAAACCATCATTATACAATAACTTGCCTAATTACCCTAACCTGCCTAGTTACCCTAATTAACCTAATTAAGCCTTTAAATGTCACTTTAAGCTGTATAGAAGTGTCTTGAAGAATATCTAGTCTAATATTATTTATTTACTGTCATCATGACAAAGAGAAAGTAAATCAGTTATTAGAGATGAGTTATTAAAACTATTATGATTAGAAATGTGCTGAAAAAAATCTTCTCTCCATTAAACAGAAATTGGGGGAAAAATAAACAAGGGGGGGAATAATTCAGACTTCAACTGTATGTGTGTATTACTGTACAAACATTGATCTTAGATTTGATGAATGGTCTGACAGCAATACTCTTCAGTTCTCAGAGGAATAAAGCACATTACAGCTGAACAGTACATTCAGTGATGGTGTGTTTGTTACTGTACTTTCAGATCTACACGTCTGCGAGATGCTCAAGAACTCTCGTCTCCATATAACAGCCTACATGACAGTTATGTGTCCAATAAAACAGTAAGTCTGATGTTTTTCAGTTCTTATGCCGAGTTGAGGATTTCAGCCCCGATTTTGACTCGCTGAAGGTTTTAAGAAATGGCAGACAAATGCCTGAAATCACAGGCAAATCGCTGCTCATTCACGTCAATAACAATCACAGTGTGAACTATCAGAGATGCCATCTGAGAGAATCGCCTGAGTCGCCGTCACTCAATTCAATTCAGCTTTATTTGTATAGCACTTTTACAATGTAGATTGTGTCAAAGCAGCTTCACATAAATGGTCATAGTAACAGGAACAGGGTTGTTCAGTTTTAGTGTTTAAGTTCAGTTCAGTTCAGTTTAGCTCAGTTCAGTGTGATTTAATCATTACTGAGAGTTCAAACACTGAAGAGCAAATTCATCGATGCGTAGCTCTACCAATCCTGAACCTGTCGTGGTTTTCTTGGTTTTTCTCTTACTAAATCAAACTCAGTCTGGAGGTTATGAATATCAGAACAATATACTTTATTGTCGACAACAAAGGAGAACTTTCAGGAGACCCCCAGTAGCATCTCTGTCTGAAAAATTCTGTCTCACTCATGTTCTGGCCTTACTTAAATACCCTTTTACATCCGTTGTTTTGCTTTGTTCTCCATATATTACACAAGATCCCTCCTAGTTTAACCCTTGACCCCAAATTCCACCTCTGTCATGTTTTTCCCTTATTTCTACATGTCACACAAATTCCACCTAGGTTAACCCCTGACCTCAATTTCCACCTAGGTTAACCCCTGACCCAAACCTGGTAACTATATAACTTATCCAGTTCTTGTGATATGGTAATTCTTCTAATGGTATGCAAGTCTACAAGCAGATTATATACATACAATTTGAATATATATATTAACTTCACACTTTAAAGAGTATAAAATCCACTTCAAACCATGCGAGGCAGTGGCGACAGCGGAGAGGGAAAAAAAACTTCACCTGATGGGAGTGAAGAAAAAAAACCTTCAGAGAACCAGACTCAGTTCTGCACGACTACTTTAATTTCTCCACTGGCCACAAGTCTTGTACAGAGCTTCAGTCACCGCGGTTTATCTCACCGTGGTTTATCTCATGAGATAAAAGTAATTTTTTTAAAGAAAATAAATAAATAATTAGGAAAATAAATCAATCAGTAATAAATAGGAATATTAATAATGATTTTATTTACTGTTATCCGCTATATGCTGTTGTTACAGGAAAAAGAAGCAACACTGCTGTTGTCATTAGATTTGACTACTTTTACATCATACAGAAATATATGTAATGTTTATTGTGTGAGGCGATGCAAATACAATGCAGGTAGAGCGATGCAAATGACCCACAAAGAACAGTGCGACTCTATTGACCTTATTCTAAAATGTGGAAGTGCGGCTGTTTTCGCGATTGTCTTAGAACTTCCGATTCAGTCGCCTATGAGAGAAATGACTAGAAATAATAAACGGCAGAAAACGGTCAAACTACTTGCTCTACTAACAAATATTTGCATGACTATACAGACCAAGTAGAATAATATAATAAGAAAATATCAATTTGCAACATTAAACTGCGAAACGAGCAGCTTTTAATGTCTAGAAATGAATGGAAGTGAATGAGACCGGAAGTCTCGAGCCAAAAAGATTTAAATGGCTGCGCCCTCTCGTCTGGGAAGAATAAGGTGAATAATTGGTCCGGGTTACCGGGGACTCTTATTGCAGATGGATGAAACAATAACCAGCAACCAATGAGAGTGACTGTAATAGCAAGAAAGAAGATTCTCAAAAAAGCGACTAACAACAAATCTAGTGACTTTTTGTGTTACTGGAGATTTTTATGGACTGTCATTTGTCCATATTGTACCGTCCCTGGGTGACACTGTAGCGCAGTGGGTAGCATGTTCGCCTTACATCAAGAAGGTCGCTGGTTCGAGCCTCGGCTCAGTTGTCGTTTCTTTGTGGAGTTTGCATGTTCTCCCTGCGTACGCGTGGGTTTCCTCCTGGTGCTCTGGTTTCCCTCACAGTCCAAAGACATGCGGTACAGGTGAATTGGGTTGGCTAAATTGTCCGTAGTGTGTGAGTGTGAGTGTGAGTGTGTGTGAATGTCTGCCAGAGATAATTTAAATAGATTTTAATAGGCAAAACTTTTTAATTTATTTTCAGTTTTCTAATGTTTGTTATGTATTCTATCATCATGCAACAGTTGTTGGGGGTGTATCCTGTATTTTTATATGCTAATGTTGACACACAAAGCCTACTCTAACAGGCAGTAAGCAGTCGAAACGTCGAAACGTGCTGGATAAGTTGGCGGTTCATTCCGCTGTGGCGACCCCGGATTAATAAAGGGACTAAGCCGATGAGAATGAATGAATGTACCGTCCCTACTCTTCTTAACGAGCTGCGGGTGATGCTGTCGGCCCCTCAGAGCACTCACATGCGGCCCAGTCCTCATACAGCAGTCTCTTCCACCTGCAGCTTGACAGCAGATCACTCCTCTGCGTACCCACGGCAAATGATTTAGCAACTTAATAAAAACTAAATGGATGAGTTATAAAAAAATTCACCCCCTCACAGTTGTCATGAAGGGTAATATTAGCTATTTAAACCAAAGCCATCTTTTGTAGCAGGCTGTAAACATGTGTTAATCAGCTGTAAAAGTGGCCAGTTCACCATTGCAGTCAGAAATCATCTGGAGTTCTGCAGCCAGCCCCCCAAAGGCGAGTCGATGAATTGCAGTTTTAGTAACTTCCGCGTTGGCTTTCCGAGGGAGCGTGGGAGGTTGCTGCTTGGTTTATATCAGTGTTGTTTTTCTGCTTTCAGAATCAGAAGTGTTCAGTATCTGCTCTGGTGGCCACCGGGTGTCTGATTGGTGTTGGGATATTGCTGGCCATCGTGGTGATCGAGAAAATAAAACATGAAAAGGAGATCAATGAAGCGCTGAATCCTCATCTCTCTTCAACCTGCTGTAATGACACCGACCCCAATGAGCAGAGCAGGTGATCAACTTCCTGTTTTGAGCCTTTCACATCCTACCACCTGCAATCTGAACTTCAGATGAACTTTGCTGAGTTTCTATTTTTATATGGATTCTTGATACTGAATGACTCACACACACACACACACACACACACACACACACACACACACACACACACACACACACACACACTCACACACACTCACACACTCACACACACTCAAGTCTGACTTTACTGCAGATTTTTTTTCTGACAAATGTTGTATCCTACAATTTTGACGCTCTATTTGTGTAATCGTGATCATGTAGTTAATCGTTTTAATTATTAATGTTATCAACTGTCTTGACTACTTTTCTATTCGCGACTCTGTATGCATAATGTGGACATTCAAGCACAACTGCAGCAATGGCAACTTGATTGTGCACCAATCACCATAGCGACTTTGTCTTGCGATTTCCAATTATAGCCTCAAAGTTTTCAGCTTTCTCTAAGACTTTAGTTAAATTTGCATTTGTGACCCTGCATCTTGCATTTATGTACTCGAAGATTGGGATTTTACACTGATTTTTTTTTTTTTGACTTATTGACAAATTGTAAGTTTTTATCTCACATTTTCAACGTAAACCTACAATTGCGGCTTTATCTTGCAGTTTATACCTTGAAACGTTCAACTTTTACCTTTTGATAAGAGTTGGAAGTCGGTCAACTGATGGCTGAACTATCATAGTACGATGCATCGTTTGACAAAAGAACGATGTAGTGACGAGTGTTCCCCAAAACCTGTAGTTTCTCTCTCGCAGATCCATCGATTGAACCACGTTAGTTATAACGTAAAACATCCATAATGATGCTCTAAACAGGGTGGAGAAGCTACTTTTTAAGAAATGATCCATGATATATTATTTTAGCCGCACACGTGTTTGATAAAAACAAATACTAGTTTAAGTAAAAATCAAAAATGGCACATACAGGGCCTGTGTTTCCTTTATAAATATTCATTCATTCATTTATTTTTGGGGCCGGGTCGCGGCGGCAGCAGTCTTAGGAACGATGGATTCGGGAAACGCCAAATCAATGTTTGTAATGATGGAACTTGCGACTTTAGTCAGCTGACGATGGTTTTCGGGAACGCCCAGTTAGACTTTGGTGTGTCCTCTTTTATGAATCTTAACCCAAATCTCTCTGTGTGACTGCACTTTATGCCAAGAGGAACCTTTGTTCCACTGTTTCACTGTTTGTTTTACACACATTGACATGGTAAAAGAGTCATTGGGTTCATGTTTGTAGGAATCATGTGATGCACATCTACAACACACACAGAGTTGATTACATCTGAGCAGCTGAACTATAATACACACATTTTTCATATCTCACAATGTCAAAGTATAATTTCGCAATTGTTTTAGTTCTCAAAACTTTACAATCTCATAGAAGCAAATTTTTATTTTGTTTGACAATTGTGATACTATAATTTTATGATTTCAATTTATACATTTGTTTATTTTTCTCTGAACTGATACTTTGCATTCTGACTTACTTTATTTCTTTAAAACATCTTTTTTTTTGACAGTGTATGTGGCTAACAGTAGCCTTTAGTTTAGATTCTTAAAGGTGCAGTAGGTGATCTGCCTAAATGCTATGCGTTAGCATATCTTTGAAACTGTCCCTCCTGAATGCCTCCTAAAATCCTGAAATCACTTTACAAGCATGTAAAGCAAGTCACACACATAAATACACACACATAAATACACACACATACACAAGTCACACACATAAATACACACACACACACACACACACACATAAACACACACACACACACACAAGTCACACACATAAATACACACACACATACACAAGTCACACACATAAATACACACACACACATACACAAGTCACACACATAAATACACACACACACATACACAAGTCACACACATAAATACACACACACACATACACAAGTCACACACATAAATACACACACACACACACACAAGTCACACACATAAATACACACACACATACACAAGTCACACACACATACACAAGTCACACACATAAATACACACACACATACACAAGTCACACACATAAATACACACACACACACACATACACAAGTCACACACATAAATACACACACACACACATACACAAGTCACACACATAAATACACACACACACACATACACAAGTCACACACATAAATACACACACACACACACACACACACACATATATATTTACTTTGACTTCATTTCAGACAATATGAACACAAAGTATTTCAGGCTCTATCTGATCATCTTCATTTGTAAATATTCATCCTTTCCTGTCATTCAGACCTGCAACACACTCCAGAGAGAGTTGTGACAGGAGCAGTTTAGGGCAGCAAACTGGTAAAATAATGATGTGATGTGAAACAGTTGAAGGCAACAGGTGATTATAATTATGATTTGGTACAAAAGCAGCATTCAAGAAAGGTCTAGTCCTTAAGGAGCAAAGATGGGCAGAGGATCGCCAGTGTACCAACAAATATGTGAGAAAATGATTGAAATGTTTAAAAAGAGAAAGAGAGGAAGACATTTGGATATTACAGCTTCAACAGAACATCATTACACGATTCAAGGAATGTGGAGGAATTGCAGTGCGTAAAGGACAAGAGCGCAAGCCTGAGCTGAACAACTGATCTCCAACTCTTCAGACGGCACTGCATTCATCTGTGAGCCACATCAGCACATGCGCTCAGCAGGGGTGGACTTTGTGTGCTTTCACACCTGTGGATCGATTCAGTTGTTCCGAAACAGAGATTACAATTGTTACATTGTTGCTCTTTGCTCTTGGAGCGGTTCGCTTTCACACTGCAAAGTTTCTTTATATTATATAGAGCTAAAACAAGTCACGTGCGAGTAAACTCTCCTCACATTGGTCAGAGTGTCAGGGTTTGTTTTGCAGCGTCCCGCTAAGCTGTCAGGAGAGGTGGTGGTTTGGTGGTGATTGACAGGGTGCGCGCGACGTGTCTGAGGAGAGATGCGGTGGGGAGGGGTGAGAAGGGTGCGCGACGATGCCTATTTGAGGACCGGGAGGGAGACGCGAGATTACCGGGAGATCATCACTCTTTGCGGGCATCCGGAGACTCGCGAAACTTCCCGCCATACTCATAATTCTCTCTTCATATAGCCGTATGCCTATTACATATCCATAAAACACTGTGATATAACCGCGCTCGGATCGGATTGCTTTCTCACTGCAATCGAACCGCTCCAGGGTTCGTTTCAATCGAGCCGAGACCACCTCATTCAAGCAATCACTTTGGCGCGGAACAAAGCGCGATTGCCCTGTTCACATATGCCAAACAAACCGCGCTAACTGGACAAGTGAGATACGTTCCGAAACAAAAGTGTAGGTGTGAAAGCACCCTTAATGATTTGGGGGCCCTAAGCAATTCACAGCATTCAAGGATATACAGCATTCAAGGAAATAGCGCTTTGGAATGGCATCATCATCCCTTCCGCCAAAGAGCATAGAATCACCAAGTGCAATTTGAGAAACAGCCACCTGATGGCGCGGCGGTCAATTTAGAATGAAAACTCCAATAGAACCACAGGATATTATAATTCTGTAAAATAAACTATTAAAAGTGCTGATGATTGTGATAGTAAGTGTTGTATTGCCGTCTTTCAGGTTGTAAACAAAAAAACAAAGCAGCTCTGGTGATGCAGTGGCGCAGTGGGTAGCACGTTCGCCTCACAGCAAGAAGGTCGCTGGTTCGAGCCTCGGCTCAGTTGGCGTTTCTGTGTGGAGTTTGCATGTTCTCCCTGCGTTCATGTGGGTTTCCTCCGGGTGCTCTGGTTTCCCCCACAGTCCAAAGACATGCGGTACAGGTGAATTGGGTAGGCTAAATTGTCCGTAGCGTGTGTGTGTGAATGAGGGTGTGTGGATGTTTCCCAGAGATGGGTTGTGGTTGGAACGGCATCCGCTGCGTAAAAACTTGCTGGGTAAGTTGGCGGTTCATTCCACTGTGGCGACCCCGGATTAATAAAGGGACTAAGCCGACAAGAAAATGAATGAATGAATGAAAGCAGCTGCTTTCCAACGCGACAGCAATAAGATGCAATGGACAGCCGGTCGCTTTCACTCCAAAATGTCAGAATCCGGGGCTGTTGTTGCGCACTGCTGTTGCAATGAAACGTTCTACTGAGTGTCGCCTCTTGGTCATTCTAAGCTCTTTGCTTCCGCTATAGCAGCAGATCAGCTTCACAAGCAATAACAAATTTCTCTTGTCTGTTAGCTTGTGTTTACCGTTGATATGGATGTTCAGTGTTTGCAAGGGCATGCAAGAGATGATTGATAGAAAAACAAGATTTGTATCTGAGAGTGAAATCTGCACATGTCCAAACTCCTAGTGTCCAGCTAATTTTAGCTCCAACTTGCCTCAACACACCTGCACGGATGTTTCTAGAAAGCCTAGTAAGAGCTTGATTAGCTAGCTCAGGTGTGTCTGATTGGGGCTGGAACTAAACTCTGCAGTACACCGGCCCTCGAGGACCGAGTTGGGCACTCTGATGTACAGTTAATCAGCTATTTTTGTGATTAGATTTTAATGGTAATAATAATAATAATAATTAAAAAAAAACATTTGAACAAATTTAATTCACGACCCATCAAACTAATCGGCGGTGCTGAAACATTTGCGTCTGTAGCAGAGGAATGATCTCTCCATGCTGCAGGTGTGAGAGACGGCTGTGTGGTACTGTGCCACCTTTGAGTGCTCTAAGGCGGAGGAAAAACCGATGGCATCACCCGCAGGTCATTACGAATTAAGAGTAACGTTAGTAACAGCACGGACACATGAGAGTCTCTAAAAATCTCCTGTAACACCTAAAAACATTTGCTAGTCACTTAAAAAAAATAATTGGCGATACGGTGGTCTGAAAAGTCGCTAAGTTTGCAACACTGGACTGACAGTGTGTTTGATTGAAGCGCTAACACCTCACGCATGTGCAGCAGTAAAGAAGGAACGTTCCATTACTTATGGGGGCCCCCGTTTTTTGAAACAATAAAATCTTAACAGGATAGACAGATTTTACAACATATGATAGAAAATGTATAAAAGAGCTATATGACTAATATAGGCCTCTTTGCATTGGTCAGGGGTCCCTGAATTCCCCCGGGCCCCAAGTGGCTGCTTACCTCGCTTATTGGTTAAGTCCGCCCCTGGAGCTCAGGACTACTGCAAACCTTTGTCAAGTTCCACAATACGTAGTTACATCCACAAATGCCAGTTAAAACTGTACTGTGCCAAAGGGAAGCCCTATATTAACAGTGTCCATAAAGGATGGCCAATCAAAAAGTGGAACCGAGTACTGTGGTCAGATGAATCAGTATTTTTTGGGAGAAATGGACGCCATGTGCTCCGGACCAAAAAAGAAAAGGATCATCCAGACTGTTACCAGCAACAAGCCCAAAAGCCAGGCTCTGTCATGAAATATGTCAAAGTAAATTTAGAAATCACTACTTTCTTTTTCTATTTGCATTTTCCAGAGTGTCTCAATCAGTTATCCACACTGATATAATCACAAATGTTTCTTGATCATCATATAAGACATTATAATGATTTCTGAAGCATCATGTGACTCAAGACTGGAGTAATGATGCTGAAGCAATACAGCAAACTCACATAGAGAGGAGAACTGTTGAATGGTAATGATACACCGCTGTTTCTGCTGTCCATCAGGCCTCTCCGCCGGCGTTCTGTCCAGACTCTCGAACCCATGATCTCTCTGCCATCCTGTCCGCCATCAGAGGAGCGCAGAGCTTCATTCACGTCTCCGTCATGGAGTATTATCCTGCCTCCAAATACTTCAATCTCCACGGGTGAATATCAGCATCTTTCTAGAGTTCACTTCAGTCTGTCCTGCTTAGGGTTGCAGAGGGGCGGAAAATTTACAGTAAACTGGGAACGTCATGCTTCATGTGTGTCTTTAATATATCTTATCATACAATAAATGCACATCCCTAGGTGTATGTGCCCTCTAGTGGCATAAATCGACACTGTTTCATTAAATGTCAGAATCGTGTGTTTTGTTCTGAGATAGTGGTGTTCTAGTGTGTGTGGTATTTTATTGTCAGGTTCTGGCCGGTGCTGGAGGATGCTCTTAAGCGTGCGGCATTTGACAGGCGTGTGTTTGTGCGTCTGCTGGTCAGCTGCGGTCGGGAAAGTGACCCGTCCGTCTGGCCATTTCTGCGCTCACTGGATGCTCTTCATTCGCCATCAGACAACATCAACATCGCTGTGGTGAGTCTGACTATTATATGAATTATGTTAGGGATGAAGTACATCCAGGAGGTTGTCTGACAGGTTTACCGGCAGCCTGATGTGAAGCAGAGCACTGTTGTATAAGGCTGAAGGGTTTATTTCTTGATAACAACCATCCTGGATGTACTTTATTCTGCTTATTACATGATTACTCACCATTAAACATAAAAAATTAGACACAACGCAAAGCTAAATTAAACATAAACTAAAACAGCTGATGGAGTATACACTAACCTGAGCATTATTCAGACTCAAGATGGAGACAAACAGTCAAAAACACAACAGATACTAAAACAGCTGATGGAGTATACACTAACCTGCACATTATTCAGACACTAGATGGAGACAAACAGTCAAAACACAACAGATACTAAAACAGCTGATGGATTATACACTAACTTGCACATTATTCGGACACTAGATGGAGACAAACAGTCAAAACACAACAGAAACTAAAACAGCTGATGGAGTATACACTAACCTGCGCATTATTCAACCACAAGATGGAGACAAAGAGTCAAAAAAAGTTAAAGTATTTTCATTGAAATTAATTTCATTACATTTTTTCATCATATTTTTGTCATTTTTATTTTACCTACAATTCAAGTTTATTTGTATAGCACTTTCTTTTAACAATAATTATCGTTCATCCTCTACATTCCACAGAGAGTGTTCATTATTCCTGCAGGAAACCAGACACGCATCCCTTACACCCGAATCAACCACAGTAAATACATGGTGACTGATAAACTGGCCTATATAGGTGAGTGAGTGCATTTAATTACAGTCCAAGATTAAATTATTCTGTTTTTCTTTTTTAAATATTTCCCAAATGATGTTGAACAGATTCAGGAATTTTTCACAGTATTTTCTATAATATTTTTTCTTCTGGAGAAAGTCTTATTTGTTTGATTTCGGCTAGAATAAAAGCAGTTCTTAATTGTTTTAAAGTCATTTTAAGGTCAATATTATTAGCCCCTTTAAGCTATATTAGTTTTGGATTGTCTACAGAACAAACCACTGTTATACAATGACTTGCCTATTTACTCTAACTTTACCCTAAATACCCTAGTTAAGCCTCTAAAAGTCACTTTAAGCTGAATACTAGTATCTTGAACAATATCTAGTCTAATATTATTTACTGTCATCATGGCAAAGATAAAAGAAATCGGTTATTAGAAATGAGTTATTAAAACTATTATGTTAAATAATTGCACGCCTACTAATTTAGTCTATTTTGTATATATTCTGCTGTTGTTCAGGGACGTCAAACTGGTCAGCAGACTACTTCAACACCACTGCTGGAGTGGGCTTAGTGGTTTCCCAGGATGCTTTGCAGAAAAACTCATTCCAGCAGCAGCTGAGGGCTGTTTTTCAGAGAGACTGGAGCTCTGAGTTCTCCATCCCTCTGTCTGAACTCCAGAACAACCACGACTGCGCTTTCCCCACACACACTCCATAAACGCACACATACATACTATTAACTGAAACACACACACCGTAAACACATATTTGTGCAGGTGTCTGTTTATGCTGTACATGTATCTATGTCTCTCATGTGCCTTTTAAATGTTTATTTTTTCTAGTCATTAAATAAGGGAAGCTTCAGGCAGCCAGTGCTTCATTTCATTTTTAAAAATTATTAAAAAGCTCACATATAAGAATTGAGTTCAAGTTGGTTTTATGTTCGCACATTTGTTCGTTTTTGAGCACTGACAACTTGTGACAGCGTGTCTGTATTGTGTATTATGCTACTTTGCATATTAGGTCTGAACTCGCATGTAAGTATGATTCAAAACAACATCAGCACTGTTTTTGTGACTGGGAACATTGTTGTACTTTGATAGTCGTTGGCTAATTTTATAATTTCTCTGTTTAAAATTGGCAAACAATACTTTTCTAAAATTATACTATTAAGTATAAAGCCTTAATGTGTGAATATAAAACCAACTTTACCCCAATAATATAATAATAGAGGATTGCAGCGCTTTGTAGTTTTCTGCTTTCAGTATTTTTCATTTTCAGTGTTTCGGCTGAAATGCATATAAATATACTATGCATATAAATTTAACGAATTCATTTTTATTCCTCCCCCCCCCAAAAAAATTATATATATATATATATATATATATATATATATATATATATATACAGTTGACATCAAAATTATTCGCCCTTCTATGGTTTTATTTAATTTTTTTTTTATATTTTGCCAAATGATGTTGGACAGATTCAGGAGTTTTTCACAGTATTTCCTATAATATTTTTTCTTTTGGAGAAAGTCTTATTTGTTTTATTCTGGCTAGAATAAAAGCAGTTCTTATTGTTTTAAAGTCATTTTAAGGTCAATATTATTAGCCCCTTTAAGCTATATTTGTTTTGGATTGTCTCCAGAACGAACCACTGTTACACAATGACTTGCCTAATTACCATAACTTTACCCTAATTAACCTAGTAAAGCCTTTAAATGTCACTTTAAGCTGAATACTAGTGTCTTAAGGAATATTTAGTCTAATATTTTGTGCTGTCATCATGGCAAAGACAAAAGAAATCAGTTATTAGAAATGAGTTATTAGTCGGTTCCAATAGCCTTGTGGTTAGTGCATCAGCATATAGCACCTGGGTGCTCGCGGTGGCCTGAGTTTGATCCCTGGCTTGAGTTCCATTGCTGATCCTTTTCTTTAAAAAGAAAAGAGATGAGATATTAAAACTATTATGTTTAGCAATGTGTTGAAAAAAATTAAATAAAAAAAATATTCAGGAGGGCTGATAATTCTGTATATAATAAAGCTCTGTGTGTGTGTGTGTGTGTGTGTGTGTGTGTGTGTGTGTGTGTATATAAACAGTTGAAGTCAGAATTATTAGCCCCCCCTTATTTTTCCCCGTTTTCTGTTTAACAGAGAGATTTCTTCAACATATTTCTAAACATAATAGTTTTAATAACTGATTTATTTTATCTTTGCCATGATGACAGTAAATAACATTTGATTAGATATTTTCAAGACACTTCTATACAGCTTAAAGTGACATTTAAAGGCTTAACTAGGTTAATTAGGTTAAATAGGCAGGTTAGGATAATTAGGCAAGTTATTGTATAACGATGGTTTGTTCTGTAGAAGATCCGGAAAAAAAAGCCTAAAGAGGCTAATAATTTTGTCCTTAAAATGGTGTTTAAAAAGAATTAAAAACTGCTTTAATTCTTGCCGAAATAAAACAAATAAGACTTTCTCCAGAAGAAAAAAATATTACCAGACATACTGTGAAAATGTCCTTGCTCTGTTAAACACCATTTGGGAAATACTTAAAAAATAAAATAAAATTTGAAGGAAGCAAATAATTCTGACTTCAACTGTATACGCACACTAAATACATTTCTAAATTTTCTAAAAGTACGCTTTTTACAAAATGTTTTAATACATAATTATTTTTTTTTTTAAATGCAAAAAGTTTTTTTTTTTTTTTATTCTATTGAAAATAATATGTATCTGGCATACATGTATTTGTCTCTTTAATTGCACACCAAACCGCATTAAATGTCATTTCAGCAGGTTTTGATAAATTTGTGCTTTCTGAATATTTTAGAAAATGTCTTTACAAAATGTTACAAATATTTTTATTTGTTGTATTTCCTCAGGTGTGTTTTTTGTAACTATTTGTTTGTTATTTCTAAGAAATAGATATTTTTAATAAGAGAGCAAAAGAAGAACAGCCTCAAAATACACATGATTTTTTACTATCATTATTTTAAAGAGTTTTAGATGTGGCTTTGTTTTGTTTTAAGCTCATTTTCTTTCATATGTCTGTCATTTTGTATTTTGTTAATAAACCTGTATATGTGGACCTTATCTTGAACGTATTTATTTTAAAATATAAAAGCAAACATTTATTCACCTCAAATTAGATTAATTTCAGATTAATAATTATGTCATTTTATTAGAAATATAATAAACGTTGGTTTCATGCATTTGGACAGTTCATGCTTTATAAATCCAAAGACATTTAAAATAATTGTTCTAGTGTGATTAATAATACAGGACGTTTTCAGAATTAAATATTAATATAAAGGTCATGTAACACATTAAATTAAATATTTAATCTTCAGATTTTAATTATGTCTAGTTATTTAGTACTTCAAGCTTTTTTTTGATATCGGCAAAATTTTCAATTTGCTATTCATATTTCAAATTAGCTTTTATTTTTTATATTTTAAGTACTAGTTTTATTTAAAGTATTAGTTTTAATTATTTAATCAGTAATTTTATGAGAATTTTAATTTTTTTTATTACTTTAGAATTGTTGTTATAATAATAATAATACAATTTATTATTAATATTATTATGATTTTGGTTTGATCAGTTTTTCAGTTTTAGTTTTATCCCCAATAATTTTTTGTAATTATTTGAACTAATTCAATTATTTAAAATAGTTGTTATTATCATTATTTAGTTTTAATTTGTTTTTCATTTTTTTTCCTGTATATTCGTCCTTTAGGAACTATAACCACAACAATACCTTGGTAAAAGCTTTGTAACATTCGAAACTTACATTTTTTTCCACATTCACTCATTAGCTAATAAACACAACATGTTTAATATGAAATTATTTTTGAGGGGTTAACCTGCAAATTAATGTAAAAAAACAAAATGACTGAAAAAACTATGTATGCTGAACTATAGGCTACTTACCAAACCTGAAGGTTTGGTTTTTTTCAGTAATTTTCATCCTTCAGAGACTACAACCACAGTAATACCATGGTAAAAACTTGGTAACAATAAAAGCTTTACATTTTTCCCCAACTTTTCACTCATTAGCTAATTAACACATTATGTAACTTGTTGAAATTTGAGGGTTAATGACAAAACCGCAAATAGATGTAACTGAATCCTAAAACCAAATGACTGTCAAAAAAAAAAAAAAAAAAACAGTGTTGAACAAACAAAGCTGAAGGTTTAATTTGTTTAATTAGTTTTTTTCAGTTTTAGTTTTCCTTCAGGCACTATAACCACAGTAATAAAATTAAAAACTTTAACTTTTCTCCCCCATGTTCACTCACATGTTGAATTTAAAATGATAATAACAATTCAAATTTGGTGTTAACGACAGAAAACCACATTAACTCATAGCTAATAAACACTATATGCTTACAAGTTAGCAGTTTAACGGTTGGAATTGCAGAATTAACGACCGTAAATAGATGTGAGTCCTAGAACCAAATGACTAAAAAAAAGAAAGGAAAAAAAGGATTGAACTATAAATAGTACTTACAAAATCTGAAGGTTTAATTAGTTTTTCAGTTTTAGTTTTTTCCACTAATTTTTGTCCTTCAGGCACCATAATCACAGCAATACCACTGAAATCTTTACATTTTTCTTCACTTTTACTCATTAGAGCTAATAAACACAATGTGTACATGTTAACAGTTAGCGGTTGAAATTTGAGGATTAACAATGGGTAAAATCGCTGTAACTTAACTCAAACCATTAAAATTCATATTTAACGTAATTAAATAATGGTTTATAACTGTTTAAAATGTAGGGTAACGATCGCAAATAGATGTACTAACTGAACCAAATGACTGTCAAAGAACAGTAATGTGAACTGTTTATAGTACTTACCAAAGCTGAAGGTTTAAATCGTTTTTTCAGTTTCAGTTTTCCCTCAAATGTTCGTCCTTCAGGCTCTATAACCACAGCAATACCACTAAAACTTCAACATTTCCCCCAAATTTACTCATTATAGCTAATAAACACAATACGTTTACATGTTAACGGTTGAAATTTGAGGGTTAACGACGGGTAAAACCGCTAATCGATGTAAATCAAAATATTTGACGGTTATTAACGAAATAACGGTTTATAACGGTTGAAATTTGAAGGTTAAGAACTGCAAATCGATGTAAATAAGTCCTAGATCCAAATTACTATGCTAAACGGTGTAAGTATGAACTATAAGTACTTACCAATGCTAAAGTTACCGCTTAAATGTATTTATTCTCATTTTATTCCGACTTTATTTATAATTCGCCTCAGCAGAGAACGGTTTTTGGCTCGAGCCGCTAGAGGGCGGCAATGACCTGACGTGATTGTACCGGAAGGAAGTAGTTTGTGAGGGGCGGAGCCTGAGCGCAGATGAGCGACGTGTTCTAGTGGCGCTGCTCATTCATCGCTCCATCATGGTGTTATTGGAAAACGACGCGGTAAGAGCACTATTAACTTTATATTTACCCCTCATCTGCTTATAATGTGCATGATATGCGGAGGATATGGTCTGTGTTTGCTGTTTAATCACGCGGTGTCGAACTCAAACATGTTAGCAAGCTAAAGCTCCCAAACACTCCACACTGATTAGCAGCGAACTTACTGCTCAACTTCAACAGTAAAATAAGGATCATGTTAGTTTAATACAGTCTTCTGGTGTTCATGAACGCTTCTCAGTCGCGTCTGGTGGAGTTTAATTGGAGAAATCAAAGTTATTCACTCATTTCTGGGTGATAAAAAAGTGTGCGTGGCGTGAAAGCATCACACTGGGGTAAAGTTGCCTTATATTCGCACTTTCTCCTTAATATACTTGTAGAAGGGTATTATTAGCAAGTTTTTTATATGGAAATCGTATTATCGTGCATTGACTATCAAAAAACAACGTTCAGTTAATTAAATAGTGCTAATGTTGTCTTGAAGTCATACTTGGATAAGATTTCAGAACCAATATTACACAAAGTTAGCATAGTAAACAATATAGAGACCCTGTCACAAGCTGTCACTGTTCAAACATGGAAAAGAAATGAAGGTTTTTGAGTAAAACTTGCAGCATGTTCTCCATATAGTGGACTTGAGTGGTTTGAGCTTCAGAATTACAGTTTCAGTGCAGATTAAAGCACTCTAAATGATCAGGAATAAACAAGGAATACATATTATCTAGATCAGTGGTTCTCAAACTGTGGTGGGCTTCCTTCTAGTGGTACGCGGAGGAATGAAATATGTCATGTACATGCTACATATATTTCAAAATTTATCAGAAATGATGTATATAATATGCCATATATGACATATAGCCTATATTCCTGAGGTAATCTGCCACGTTTTTTAACTGAGCAGAGTTGTA